TTAAGCAAATGAGTCGAACACGAACACACTTTTTGAGCTCGAAATATAAATGAGCCGAACACGAGCTGGGCATGGGCTCGCTGGTGTTCGGCTCATTTACACCCGTACTTCTAACTTTAGAGGCTGTGAGTAAAGCTCAGGCACTAAATAATCTTGTTGAAATTAGATTAATTAATTAATAATTATCATAAAATGACATCTTAAATAATCATCAATTAATATTTTGAGTTAATTAAATAATATCCTTTCGTCAAATTAATTAAAAATGATGCAATTTACATAAATACAGATTTACTTTTTTAATTAATACGTTTATATTTAATTTATATGATCAAATAAGTAACTTTTTTAATTACGCTTTTTGCACTTATTAAATCATAATTAGCATGAATATCATCTTAATTATCCTTGCATTATTAATTTTAAAACTAATCAAACATAATAATTTTTAATCATAATAATGTTAATTTAATTTGTGAATCTTAATTATAAATTTATTGCACTCCGCAACAAAAGATTTATGTTAATAGGATTTATCAAATTCGTGAATTTTGTGGATTTCAGTAAGTTTGCGATGACAGACAAATATTTGCGTATGTAAGTACGTATAGTCGCTTACGTTTGGTAAGTTAGAAGAAGAACATTGATGACTATATCTGCGTTATACCCTATAATCTATCTGTAACTAATAAATTTTAATTATCCACCTGCATATATTTCTAAGTTACACGCAGACTCCACAACTCCACGGAGAGATTACAAGGGGGTGTTAAAGAGGGAAAAATATTACATCAGTACTATGCACGTAGAGTAACGTGCATAGCCAATGAAATCACGCCACGACAACGCGACGATAAAGAAAAAAAAACGGCGCAGTAACACGGGGAATATTCCCTCCCGCATTATTGATGTGTTATTTTTAGGGTTGTCCAAACGGCTCGTTGTTCGCGAACAGCTTGTGTTCGGCTCGTTAATTTCTCGAACGAAATTAACGAGCCAAACACAAACTTAAGATGTGTTCATTCGTGTTCGACTCGTTTTGGCTCAAAATACTACTCATCAAGTTTATATATATATAAAGTAGTATTTTAAAAAAATCTAATTGACTACAAGGCTACAAAGATTTATAATCAATTAAAA